ACACACACACACACTACACAACACACACACACAAGGACCAGGTTCCACTTTGAAGCTTGCAAAAGGCTGTAGGGTCTTTATTTAAGGAACGTGCCAAGATGATATGAAATGCATTCCCCCCCCCCTTTTCTGCACCTGTAAAAACCACTTTTCCCAACCTGCAACCTTCCCGACGTGCAGGTGGACTACAATTCCCATCACTCAGCCACCCCAGTCCCACACACACACACACACACACACACACACACACACATTCAGAGGGTCTCAGGATGGGGAAGGTGGTATAAGACTAACAGATTGCAAATGTGGATTCTTTTCTTTCTTTCTTTCTTTCTTTCTTTCTTTCTTTCTTTCTTTCTTTCTCTCTCTCTTTTATGTCTTGTATGGAAAACATCTGCCACCATTCATTTTTACGAGGTTGCAAGAGTCAGGGATTATTTTTGGCCAAAAAGGCCCAACGTGGCAACACCTTCCCCACTTCTCAGACCAGAGCTGGGCAAAAGGCAGCCTACAAATGAAAGGAAATAAACCGATGCATCAAATGCTCCCTTCTCTAGTCCAGATGCTTGTGTCCGGCTGGGTTGCTGAAGTGGCCGCCTTCTCCATCCATCCAAGGCACCGGAGTCTTTGGGGGCCCCTTCCGCTCTCCCTGCACCCTCCGCTCATTCGCTCGCCTTCATTCCTCTCCTCAATCCATCCCAGATGTTCAAGGATCGGCCCAAACAAAAGGTGAGATCGGCTTCCAGAAAGAAGGGGAAGAGATGAGGAAATGGGAAAGGGAGAGAGAGTCCAGCTTGGCCAGGGAAGGGGAAAAACTAGGAACCGGTTCCAGAACGATGCTGGAACAGAGAGCAAGATATATGTGTATACGCCTTCAAGTCATCGGTTATGGCAATATACAGTCCCAATATTGGGGGTATTATTATCAATAATAACACAATTCAGGTTAATGGTTTTATGGGATTAGGCATCCTCTGTTCTGGACGCCTTCAAGTCTCCTGTTGACCGACAGCGACACAAAGACCCAATATTGGGAAAAGGCAGAGCATCATTATTAAAAAGGATAATAATAATGATTATGATGCAATGCAAGTTAATGGTTTTATGGAATCGGGCG